TTTCAAGAGGATGGACTTATGATATTCTTAAAGTGAAATGATTGTGGCAAAATCATGACATTGAAGTTGGTGTTTTGAGTAACCGAGGTGTGGTAGACCACATGATTTCTAAACAGGCGTTGGAGGAGAAAGAGACTCTTGGCTAGACATGAGTTTCACTGCATGATGACATTCAAAGCCACACCAGGGGTCATTGCGAATAGCACTGTGTCAGCTGGCTTCACTGGTTATAGATGAACCAGCATTACGGGTTTGACAGTACCAGTATCAGACTTCACACACTTAGTTTTCAACAGCAAAATCTAGGAAACGTCTACTTCATTGTGAAATTACATTCAGTTAGCCCTTTTGTGATGAGAACAATTCTGTATTTTCATAGAACTTAATTTGATAATGGTTGCTTATCTAAACGCTACTGGCAGACTGCTTAAGTTTTCCTTTAGATTTCCTTCTAACTACCTAGGGGATTTTTTCAATAATGAATGAATTCTATGCAAGTTTACTGTGTCAAGCAAACAGAAATGTACTTGTGATTTTAAAACGTGAGGGGTTTAGGTCTCTCTTGGTTTGATTTATTTATTAAGAAAATCACATCACTTCATATAGATGATTAAACAGTGGAAATATTTTAAATTTCTCTACAATGTTACTTAAAAATGAAGTGTGAAATTAGTCTCATAATGTAGGTTGCAATAGAAAATGCAAGGGAAATATAGAGCATATTTAAAATAGTTTAATGACTCTTATATAAATATGGGGAACAAATGCATCTGTAGTCATTAAAGATGAAAAAATATTCTCAAATATTTCTCATAATTTACAAAATGGTAACTGTTTTCCCTGCTCAGTTAAAGCAATTCATACAATAACCTACAAAATAAGAAATAAAGATCAAGGTCATCATTAAGCAATTGTTGTATAAACCTACTGCACAAGGAACTAGTCAGCAAGAGAAAGTCGAAAATGTACTTAATTGTAAACAAAGATCACAGCTCTTATTAAAGTTCTTACTCCTGGCATTCTGGGCTCCCAGAGGGAAGACATCGGTCTCTCTAACTACCATTGATTGGAAGAGTCTAACTATCTAGAGGGTGAATAGCATTCTCATTTACAATCTGAGATAACAAGTAAAGTGTCATTTCAGTTGAAAAGAGAAAAATTCTATTTTTTACAGTTCCTTTCTTGATCTTATTCTTCATTCTTGCCCTTAGTCCTCCTTTCTGTATCCAAACCTGATAATACTGATAACGACATAAACAAACATTCCAAAAAATGAGAAAGTGTGTGTGTGGGGGGGGGCTATGGTACAATATCACCTCCTCAAATATTTAAGACATGAGAATCAAAATTAATTTTGAGATAAGGTTTGCTGAAAATCAAAAATGGAAACCACATGTACTGGCTTTTTCAGGATGAGAAGACAGTTTTCTAGTCTCTTACTATGTAGGTAATTGTGAAGAAAGTGCAGGAAGAGTCAAACAGGAGACATGGCTTTTCCCATAGACTGAGGTCCCTCGGGTACACAATGAGCTATTTCTTTTCCTGAGGATATTGAACACTCTCAGGACTTATCAGCAGGAAACAGGTCAGGGGCCTGGTGACAGCAGGAAGTTTGAGAAGGGTAATGGTAATTCTCCAGCTTTTACTTGGAGAATACAAACAGATTACAGACTAGGTACAAGAGCTGAGTGGTTGTCCTGGGGCCAGCCTTCATGTTTGGAAGTCAAGTGCAGTTTTTCAAAGACACACAAAGACTACTGGGTGAGTTAAGATACACAAAACTGACTGTATGAATAGATCTTTAGACTCTAACAACAGATTTATTACTGTACCAATATTATTATTTCAGTATTTAGTTGGTGCATTTAGTGTGCAATACTATGTAGCAGAACCTGTTTCCAATTGCAGAGTAATTATCATTTTCTCTTTTTAATAAGTTTGGGAGGTGAAATGGATTAAAAATACCTAATTCATCATTGGTAGGATTGGGACATGAAATTGATCCTCTTATGGCTAGTTACCATAAAAAAGGACAAGGATCCTGGATCACTAGCAACCTGTACTGAGAATTTTCCGAACCCTTGCATCTGGTAGGTGCAGCATGACTGCCTGGGGTATTGCAGACTCTTATAACAGCTGCACTGTAGATAAATCTCTGGCTTGTAAATCCAGCACCGTATATATACACGCTGGATAACATCAGCCAGAGGATGTTTGCATATGATTTCCTTGTACTTTTTTTTTTTTTTGAGAAGAATCATCAATGCTTCCCATCCTTTTTCTAAACATAGCTCGATGACAAGCCTTTGAAGAATCTCAGAGACAAACAGTCTTTACTATTAAAAATCACCATTGTTTCTCTGTTTTCCAGATTAGTATATTTAGCTACCAGCTGCCAGCTGTGAAAACCAAACAACCTACAACTTCCAAGGTCTCTGGGTATTTATTCTCCCAGGGTCAGCAGAAGACTAGAGAAATTTCTATTTCCTCCCTGTGTGTGTGTGGGGGGGGCAGACTTTAAATGTCATGTCAAGGTAAATAAACAAAAACAAGACAAAGACATAATCATCTTCTTGCTACAGGAGCGTAGCCACTAAGAAATGAACTTCAGGCTAAAGAATGCTTAGTTTCAATTTAATAATTTCTGCTGCCTTGGTAAATCAGGTTTTTAAAAAAATTATTTATCTAAGTTATGTCACTTTAATAAGAAGGAAAGGATGAAATCTTGTACCTCTCAGCATCTTCTTGTCAGAATGGAAGACTAAATTCGATCACATTGAATTTAGCAGCTATTTATTGAGAGCTTACTGTGCATTAAGGTTTAGAGATTGCACATGGCAGACAGGAATATGATAACAACAATAATAAAATCTTTCCTTCCTGTAGATTAGATGGCAAGTATTTTCCTTCCAACTTTCCTACATAAAACATCATTTTCTTTAGTTTGTATATAACATTAGGGTTGCATTTTAAGCAATATTTTTATTAACTTTTTACTATTAAAAACAACCTTATTTTACATACCAATCCCACCAAGTACCCCCTCCCTCCAGTCTTCCAACTCCCCCCATAATCTCCCCATCCCACCTACCCCCACCCACTCATCAGCGAGGGTGAGGCCTCCCATGTGGGATCATCAAAGTCTGTTACATCATTTTGGGCAGGACCAAGGCCCTCTCCCGTGTATCTAGGCTGAGAAAGTCTCCCCTCCATAGGGAATGGGTTCCAAAAAGCCAGTTCATGCAGTAGGGATAAATACTGGTTCCACTGCCAGCAGCCCCATAGACTGTCCAAGTGACACCCACGTTCAGGGAGCCTAGTTTGTTTAAGCAGTATTTTGAAGTGAATCATACTGTGATTTTTGTAGTGGGGAAGTTGAGACACGAAGACCAGCAGTTGAAACCACTAGGTTGTTAATCTTGGCCTTGCAGACTATTTGATTGGTGAGTGGTGAGATGGATGGTCCCGCCTATAATGCAGGATATGCTGACACTGATGTTCTAAGGGTTCCTTTCCCAATAGAACTCTGCAGCCTGAAAAGCACAGTCCAACTCTACATATAAAGAAGCCTTCATCCCTTCTGAGACAGATCAGATGGAGTCAATGACTCTACATCTCTAAGGCATGAGTTAAACTTTGTTAAATGTTAATTTTTTATAGGCATGGTTAAGTGCTATTAGAATTGTAATATATTGGGTTTCATTAAGTCTTTATTGTAAACAGGCTCTTAATGCCTGTGAATGATTCAAGCTATCAGCCAAGCAGCCTCTTTACAAACAACTGACCAGACTGTCCTGATGGCAGTCCAGCACTCTGGGCACTTTACTCTGAGGACACACCCGCTACTGAAGGGAACCACTACCTCATGGCTTAAGACAGGGTCCAGTTGTGACTGCACCCATAGCTGGAACAGCCTGTGGAAAGTAATACTCCTTGGCAAACTGCAGATGGCCAGGTCTATCCTGCAGCTATTCACACTCTGGCCAGAGAGGGAGCACTTCCAACCTGTGGGCCTGAGGGGAGGCCCGTGGATGTGTCAAGAAGTGTATGCACTGTGAATTGTGCACACACAGCCCTTGAGGGGCTGCATGACTGACACAGACCATCACACCCTCTTCTTGTCTGTTAATTGAGTTGTTTGGTTTAGTTTTAGAGTCAGCCGGCAGACCCCCTCCTCTGACACTCCTGATCTTGCAACACTAGGGCCAGTAAAAGACTCCCTGAATGGTCCTTTCTTTCCTCCTTTGCTCTTTATCATTAGAAGAGTGGGCTGAGCTGGCAACACAAGGGAAGTTGCAGAAGCACAAGGTGGTAGCAAAGGCAGAAGCGGCTACTGCTGTGATGGTGACAGCTGTCACCATCACTAGAGCAGTAGAGATGGACATGGGAACAGCTGAAGAATTCTGGAAAGTGGCCATGGCAGAAAGGATAGCAAGCGGAAGCAGAGAGACACAGAGGAATGTGGACATCCAGATTACAGGAGAAAAGGCAGAAAAGCAAGGCTGAGTATAGACAGCAGAGAAGATAAACAATGGGCTCAGGGAACAGCCATCCAAGAACCGTAACACCAGTGAGAGCAGCCTGCTGCCACTGACTGCTATCTGCTGCTTCTGCTGAAGGTCAAGGACTTCAAAAGCTGTCAAGAGCTGAGGCCATGGGTAATTAAATCCCAGAGAAATAAGCCTCCAGCCTGCACAGGCAGATCCTAGAGTAATAGACCCCAAGCTCCAAGGGTTAGGAACCTCAGGCCTTTATATCTGTTAGGTCCACCCCTAGGCCTTGGCCCTCAGAGGAATTACCTCTGAGGTCCCCCATCCTGCTCATTTCTATCTAGCGCCAAGGGACCCCAGAAATGGCTGGTGGTAACACTACAGTTTGGAAATCATTCTGCCTTCTTTCTAGGTGTGAGCATACAATATATAATTCCTGGAAGCTGAGCTGAAGAAAAATCTATCAGTTGTTAAGTATAGTGGTAAGTTTATTTTTTTAAAAAATCAGGAATTACTGTACAAACTCTGCCAATGATGACTAGATTTCTTTGTCATATGGATAGTCACTTTGGACTTCCAAACAATCAGGAAATGATTTTCTCTTCTTTGTTCTCAATGAGCTAGGTCTTCTGTAGTCCTAAATCAATTTTCTTCTTGGTATACTATAGGACAAGGTCAGTTGAAATCTGCAAAACATTCAAGAGTATTGCCAAGACAAATTTAAAAGCAATTTTGCCTTATTGGTCCACACATCATTTGCTGTTTGACCTCTCTCTCCCAAACCTTCGTGCAACGGAGATGGCTCTGGGCTGTATCTTTCAGATGCAGGATCCAAGTGCATTTTTCTCACAAATAAAATATTTCCATCTGCTGCAGTTATCTGAGAAGAGGGATTTGTCTTTGATGTATCCACAGATCTGGCTGGCAGATAACTGTTTCTGTGTTGTTGGCAATCTGAAAAAGCAAGTTAGATTCCCAGGTTAGAGTTTACATTTGAAGGTAACACTGGTATTTGACAAGGAAATACTCCAGAGATACTGTTGGATTTATTTTTAATTTGCTTGGATGTGGCATTCTTTTATGGTGGTTTTATCTTCCTTCAAATAACAGCTATTCAGTTTTAATAAAAATGCATTGATATAATTTGAACAAACAGCTTATAAAGAAACCCAAGCCATTTACATAAAGGTAGGTTCTAGCTAGTGTGGTTCTCTTGACTCAGTTCTCAAAATACTAAGGCACCTGATTATGTCTACCAATCTCCATTACCATCTGGAAAGTTCAATATAGAAATTGCTCAGTAGTCATTATAGTCTCTTGACCAGAAGGCTCTCTCAGCATTGTTATATAACGAATGTTCTTAACACTTGATTACTCATTTAGGCACTTGAATTATGACAAGAATTTTCTAGAAGATGGTGATAGGGGGAACTGATGGATAAGATTTAGAAGCTGTGTTGAATAGTTTTATGTCAACTTGACACAAATGCTAAAGTCATCTGAGAGGACAGAATATTGATAAAGAAAATATCTCCATAAGGTCCAGTTGTAGGCAAGAAATGTAAGGCATTTCTTAGTTAGGAATTGATGGTGGAGGTTTAGTCTATTGTGGATGGTGTCATTTCTGGGCTGGTGGTCCTGGATTCCATAAGAAAGCAGGCTGAGCAAGCCATGAGGAGCAAGCCAGTAAGCAGCACCCCTCATGACTTCTGCATCAGCTCCTTCCTCTAGGTCCCTGCCCTGTTTGTGTTCCTGTCCTGATTTCCTTCCATGACGAACAGTGATACGGAAGTGTAAGCTAAAGTAATTCTTTCCTCCCCAACTTTGCTTTTTGGTTATGGTATTTTCAGTGTTTCATCTCATCAATAGAAACAACAAAGCCAAGTCTTAAGTATATCAGTTATAATTCTAATCAGTATCCTCTTAAAGTGTCATGATTCTGTGCCTTCTAGAAGAAATACAAGGTACAAAGTAAACATTTAAAACTTCTTCACATTCCTAGTTTCCCTGTCATGTCTCCTTCATACACTTACAAGTCAGAGAGAGAGGAGAGGAACCATCTAGCCAGAACCAAGATCGGCTGAGTTCATCTTGATACACTCCCACCCAGTACTCCTTTTCTTTGAGATTCCACAGGCTGGGGATCATAAAATCCTATTAAAAAAAAAAACAAGACACAAACTATAAATTCAGAAAAGTAAATACAAATCCCAAATTACTGTGCAATATAAAGCACGATTTTTGCCAAACCAGAAATCAATGAGAACTTGAGTGTTGGGGGAAAAAATAGTAGATATTAAAGTGAAGTGGGAACACACACACACACACAAACACAATTCTTCTGTTGTATAGTCAATATGGTGTGTTAAATACCATGAAAATATGTGCATCTGGAATTCAAGTTTTCATAGATTCTGAGTCTGGCAGATAGTATGTGTCAAAGCAAAGCAAGTCTTAATATTAACCCTTTATAATCAAAAGTAAAAATTTCACTTCCTTCGTTCACCATGTGAGTCAATTTCTCCCTTAGCGTGCAGCTTTGGAGATTCCAGCCCCAACTCACTGTGAACACATTTTGTTAGATGAAGTGTGTTTTATTTTGTCATCAAATTTTTGGAGAGGGTAATTATTTTTATATAATTGTAATGTAGTTTAAATCTTCTTTATTTACTGTGTATTTTTTTTAACACTTCCCATTGTTCTTAAAAAACTGAACTTCAGCTATTGAACATTTTTATTAGGATGAGAAACATCTGAGAATTCTACGTCAGATATTCTATTTAAGGGTGGAATGGCTTCAGCAGACATTGCATTGCTTATTTATCAAGATCCTAGTAAGATAGGCTAATAAGCTTAACATTTCACTTATCCAGTGCTCAATCTTACAAGCCAGTTCTTTTCATGACATCACTTCAGGTTTTTTTTCCTTGTAACTTTTGTTGTTTTTGAGTCATAGTTGATACACAGGCCTTAAACTCGAACTCCTCCCGTCTCACCCTTCCATGTACTGGAATTACATGCATGAGTCATCACATGCAGAGTGGGACTTCAGTTTTCATACTTCTGTTTCTCTCTGAGAATTATGATTATTCTGTTCCCTGTAGCACTGAACATAATGCATTTAAAAAAAATCTACAGCTGGGATGTATATGTACACACTGTCTGTGCATAAAATACCTGTATTCCTCAACTTCTGGAAAACCAAACTCGTTTTCACTTCTCTAACTGAAGGGAAAGTAAACTATATGAATCTCTACATTGTCTCTTTACTTTTGGATATTGCAAATATACCACTGCTATGGAAAATTAAGGAATCCTATCTTATGAGAATCTGTACTTCATTTTAATGCATAGCATGGTGTTTGCAGAATGACACAGATCATAGAAGAGTCTTTACCATTTCCTCTTTGCTGTCTATTTGAAGGAGACTGGCGCCCTCCTTTAAACAATTCTCCTTACTGTCGTTCCACATTTTCCAGAGTTGAAAGAAATAGTAACAACTTTTTCCATGCTGAATCCAGTTGTGTGGACAAGGGCTGCAGTTACTACCTTCAAAACACAAACATTTCCTTAATTGTCAGTGCATGAAACTGGAAAACTGACTCCCTCAAGATAACCAAATGAAGCTCATGATGCAACACCAACCAAGCCAGCTTCTCTGAGGCTGGGCACAACATCAGTTATATAATTTATACCTGAAATAGCTCTCTGATAATTAGTTTCAGTTAAAGATCAGCGTGGAGATAACTTCATCTAAACTGGTCTATTTTCCACCACTGAGCCATTGGCCAGGACGAGAAGTAAGCCTTGAGTTGATGTTTTAATTCTGAGACTTAAGAAAGAAAAAATTTCATGTACAAGAGAGAAATCAGTTAATATATGAAAAGTGTGGTTTGGAAACAAGTAGGTGTGTACAGGGCATATAAAGAAGCATGTCTTAGGGCTTCACTATAACTAAAACCTAGGCTTCAATATTCAATGTGTTGTATAAGGAACATGTGTTATAAACAATACACTCACAAAAGATAACCAGTGACCTGCACACAGAGGAACTAAGCAGCATAGATTTGGTGAGAGGTTCTAGCAGAATCTTATAAAGGGTGACATGGAAGTCTGGTTATTAGAGAGTAGCACTCATGTGAGGTGAGAAACCCTTCACACGTGGTTTCCAAGATGGAATATTGAGTCCTTTGTGGCTTTTCAGTAGCCTGTGTGTTGGAATCAGTGCTAATCAGCATGCTGAGTGCTATGATAGCCATGGGCAGGGTGGGGGGAAGGGGTGGGATGGGGGTTGTTAGCGTTGAAATGGTGCTTGGAAAGTTGGAGAACAAGATGGATTAGCAGATCTCCAAACTAGGTTATCATTGTAGTCAGTGTTGATGGTTCAGAGCAGGGACTGACTCATGCTTATAATAACCTGATATATTTAAGAACACTCCTGACACTGGGTGACTCTGCCAACAATTCTTTGAATTAAATGTCCAATTAGAAGGAACTATGAAGACTGTAGTGGTGACTCGGCACTTCAAAACACGTACCGTTCTTGCAAAGGATCCAATTTAGGTTCCCAACACCTAAGGTAGATGGCTCCCAGCTATGTGTAAATCCAGCTGCAGGGGATCTGATGCTTTGGCCTCCTCTGGCATTGCACTCACTTGTTCATACCCCACACAGATACTTTCCCACACGCATGCATACACTTAAAAAGCAAATCTTGTTTTCTAAAGAAAACAATGATAGTTTTTTTTTCACATTAATTCAAAATTCAAATGGTACCTTCTAGCAGCAATTTAACTTCCTAAATAATTATTAAGTCACCATGAACTATTTAACAGGTGGTAATAAAATTTTTAGGCTTAAAATAGTCATGAGATAAAAGTGAATTAGCGCTATAAATTTTTAGAAGTGAGCCTTTCATGTTATAATAGTTTTATGATACTCTGATTTTCAAAGTCAATTTTCCCCCAGGAGCCCTGCAAGAGGAACAGAAAACACTTGGAACTCACGGGACACTGCTGGGGAGCGGAGCGGGAAGTGTTGGAGAGACAGAGCCCTAAGGACTACATGTCCTGAGGACCTCATGCTGTTGTTATTAAGCATAGCTCATAATCTCCCATTTTGTAAAAACTTTAAGAAGGCTTCTAGCCACTCACTGTGCAGTGTTACTGGTACTTAAAGTAATAGTGATTGACTTTTCCAAGCATTGCTATTAGAACAGATTAATGATTCAATCACCACACTTAGAAAAAATGTAGATACGTAGAATTATTAGTATGGGTAGGTTAATGCACTTTTGTTAATGGGTTGAAATAGAAAATCTTGGGGAAAAATTTAAAGTTTAGAAAGGCTCACTTTTAATGAGCCAGGGACTCATTGAGGTCAAGAAATGAAAACGATGGCAGCCTGGCTATTGCTTTCTTGTTAGGATGGGTTGGTTGATCAAAGAGGATGATTAATTCCTTGTACCCATTGCTGCCCTCAGCTTTATGATATGATTTAATTTAAAAAACTGTTGATGAGTGGGTATACACCCTGAGGATTTAAAGATGACTGATTTTTATACATAAAGATTTAAATTTGTGGTAGTTTAAAGATTTTTATAAGACTACCTTTTGAGATAAATAATAAAATGATTGATTTTTTTTTTTTGTAACTGCATAATGATGGGAGATGTCATGCAGCCAGGAAGTGTAAGAACTATAGGAGGAAAATACTTGCTTGCTTACACTTCATTAATCGAGTAAGTTGCTTAGATGAATGTATGTGGGCCCTTCAAAATATTTTTTACCTGTAATATGTAAAATGCTTAATCGTGTAAGGAAAATGAGAACCTTGCTGTTTTTTTATTTGTATATATTGTAATCATTAACTTGAAAAGTAGAATGTAACCACATTGCAATCTTTACATTACTTGAAAGATTTTGCTGGGGTAGATAATCCATAAGGGGAAAAAATAAAGTTAGATGGAAGGAAGACATCAGGAGAGAGATAGGAGGGATACATCAGAAAAGATGAAAGAAATAAAACAATAGAGAGATCCTGAAGATGTGAGTGTGTGTGTGTGTGTGTGTGTGTGTGTGTGTGTTCTTTTGGCACTGGCCCCAAAAATTAAGTTTTACTCCCTCAGATAAAAAGTCCATTGAATGATTAGCTCACCATCTATTCAACCTCCCCCCTCCCCCACCCCACCCCCGTAGCCTTCAGTTGCTGAATTCTAAAAGCCAGTCTTTACAACAGCAAATTTTTATGCTTAGCTATCTATAATTGAGTCTAAAGCAGACATTTGGGACATTTGAAGCTAGAATTGAAAATAGGCCTCGATTTGAGTGTCTGAGTGAAACACATTGTTGATTTTTAAAGCCAAGCTTAGGGATCACACACATTCCACTTGATCTTGCTGTAAGATTTGTAGCTGAACTTTTAAGGAGATGTAGATGAAGCTGAACCAACTGTAGAGCAACAAAAGTTACATCATTCTTGGCAGCTGCAGAGGGCCAAAGAAAGCTCAGGGCTGTGACTCTCAGCAACCTAAAGCATTCAGATAATCTTTCAGAGACAGGAACTCTGGAAAAACTGGGATTTGTGGGGCACAGAAAAGGACAGTTTGAGACAGAGGAGATTATGAAAGATATTTTAACACAGACTAAAATAAGCATGAGGGTTAGGCTAAAGAAAAGCACTGAGAAAAAAGTAAAAGCCACCCAAAAGCACTTTCCCTAAGGTTAAGCTGTCGAAACTAAGACCCAAGTATGGGTGTGGGCTCCTCAAAGAGAGCCACCAGCAATTGCCTTCTCATTAGGCCTGTGTGCAGTTCTGCTGGCTCTAGGATTACAGCGCAAACTGTTTGTAAGAAATCCTTGCATTTTGCTATGTGAAAACATCAGGTAGCTCTGGGGACGCCTTGGGTGGAATTACAATCTGATAAGGTAAAACCCAGGACACTAAGGCTGCACAGGAGTTCAGTTCCCGTCCTTTCCCTTTAAGATTTCTATCTAGTTCCTAGAAAATTACAGGTTTCCAGCTGAAAGGAGAAAGGTGGTAGTTAATGGCTTGGGAATCTCGTTTCCCTGTGGATGAGAGTTATAACCAGATTCCTGGGAAAGGACCTCTTCTTTTTCCATGTCATCACTATTTTCCACCTTTCACATCTGTCTCGGCACTCAGTCCAGACCCTAGGAATCCATAAAGAACAGGCTACACAAAATTGTTTCTTTTGCATAGATACTGTATGCATTTGGGTCTCCACTGAGATCACCTATTCTTAGCTGGGCATGATGCCTCATGACTGGGATCCTAGCACTTAGGAGGCTGAAGGAAGAGAGTCACCACAAGTTGGAAACCAGCCATGATGAGTTCTGGCTACCCTAGCCTATATGACAATCAATGCAGAACCATACCGATCCTTTATTAATTACCTGAACGGGGAGGTCTTTGTTGCAAGGTTTGGCAGTTTTTCATCTGCAGGGTGTAGTTTCTCTGCCACTGTGTGAGGTTGATCAATTGTCTGTCCTGTTGAATGAGTCTTTCCTGCTGATTCATTGCAAGAGAGGACACCTGGAAGACTGTGACAATGGTGTACATTCCTCATAAAACACTGACATTTTACAATAAAGTAATCCCCTAACAAGGATCAAAGAAAACTATCAGTGAGGATGGGGGCATGATTTGCCTGGCTTTGGGTTTTTGTTTAAGATTAAAATTATTCAAGGATCAAGTATTACAAATCACACACACACACACACACACACACACACACACACACACAGACAGACAGAAGCACACATGCAGTCCACACACATAAAGGAAAGCTCAGTCTTGCCTCATTTTACACATTTGTAAACTATTTTTAAGATGAGTTGCTAGATCAAACGTTTGTGAACATTTAAATATTATTCAGTATTTCTAAGTTACCCTCTATAAATGTATGCCGTTTTTCAGTGTTTCAAAGTTATCTGCATTTCCAGCTGTCTGTTTGACATTAAAATTGTCTTCACAGATGTAAACAGTTGGATGTATTTTCTTGTCTGTGAAATGTGTGATTATAGCCTTTGTAAACACCAAAGCCTCATTGGCTGCTTTTCCTGTACTTTGCTTTGCTTTTTTTGTGCTGTGATAACTAACTTATCAAGCCTGGAATCAAGCTGAGCAGTGCATCTCAAATTCACATGGCGATGACCTTCAGACAAGACACGATGCCAGCTGGTTAATGGTGCAGCTTGTAACTATGGGTCTGAGAATTTGGGGAGCAGAATATGACTAACTTGTCAGCATTGATTAGTGATGACAGCATGATAGATGATTTGCCCTTGGTTTTAATGAGACCCTAATTTAGGAGAGAGGCTTTATGCTGAGGCAGGTTGCCTAGTCTCAGCAAAATTCTGTCTTTATGATCAGCAAAACATAAAAATCTCCAAGAAAGACTCTGGGGCTCCTTGACACCATCGTATCCTGGGCAAAAACCAGTGATTCCTGAGCCAACAGAAAGTCGTGAAATAGTGAAAAGAGAGCCAGGGAAATGTACCTGCTCTCTGGCCCTAGACAACACCCCTTTTCCTTTTTCTGTTTTGTCTTGCAACAGCATCTCATTACCCCATGTTGGCCTCAGATTCATCATGTAGCCAAGGATAACCTTACACTTCTGTTCCTCCCTTTTCTCCTCCTCCCATTTGCTAAGAATACAGGCCTAGGTCATTACTCCTAGCTCTATCCAGGATCCTTCTAATAAGAGGTTTTACTAGCGATATCTTTACTTCTGTGTCATTATGTTGTATTCTTATCATGTAAAAAACTAAATTTCTTTTAAAATTCTCAATAAACTAAAATGTTAAGGCCTGTTGTTTTTGGTACTGTGAGTCTCTGTTAACAACCAGCCCTGTGCCTAGAGATATTTGCTGGCATATCACATGCTTCAAGGGTTGATTTTGGTAAGCTATAGGCTACTATGACCACTTCATAGTTTGACATTTGGCTTGATTTATTTACATAGCTGAATTTTATTTTTTAGTCTTTTTTTTTTTTTTTTTGACACACTGCCATTTTTTATTTTAGGTCGCATATTCTAGATAAAAGACCGAATAGGCTGCCTCACATCTCTACGATTGAATGATAGAATCGGCTTCATTTTCATGCCTACATTCATGTAATAAGTCATCTCTGCAATCGAGATAATGAATTTTGTTTTGATATAGTCGAAGCTTCATATGTAGCTAGAAGAAGCCACAGATTCCGTCAGCTCTTAGCCCAATTTCTACCCCATGGTACTATCTTGAAAACTGAAGTTTAGTATCACAACTAGGATATCAACACTGATAGCACCACTGCCCCGTACTTCTGAGAGCTGTATCTCTGTACAGTCCTGCTAGAGCTTCTGAGACCCATCAAACATGTGATGTCGCTGGTTTGTAGTTTCTGCTTTCTGGTGTGTGTAGTGTGTCTCACTGTGGTTTTAGCTTGCTTTTCCTAATGGCTAATAATATTGAACCCTGTTTTTATGCTTGCTTTATATTCTTAAATTCTATGGAGAAATATGTTGTCATGTCATTCTTCCTTTTTATCTCTGAATGGCTTGGTGTCTTTTGGGGTTCTGAAAGTTTTACTGACTCTAGGTACAACTATTTCATTGGGTATCTGGTTCGCAAGTACTTCCCTCTTCTGCCTTATGTGTTCAGCCACTTTTTTTATGCTGAAGTAGGTGCATCTCATCAGCTGTTACTTTTATTAATAACCCATGAGATGTTAGATCTAAGAACTCTGCACTTATTTAGAGAATGGATTTCTCCCCTTCCCTTTTTCCTTTTCTTGATTTGGGCACTACCTAGTGTTAGGAGTAAAAAGCCAACATTCCTTGTTCTATTATATTAATAAACTGGTACATATAGGGATTGAAATATAATAATCTTCTTTTTAGAAAGCTGATATATAATTTTAATATTCTGATGAACTTTACTGGGCAAACTGGATTTCAAGTCATTTCTGCTTTGCCTATTAAGCTCGGGGTGGCATGGGCTGCATCAGATGATAATAAGACAGGAGAAAGGGAAATGAGACTTCTCCTTGGAGTTTCATCCTACATAGGAAGCAAATGCTTGATCTTTATTGGTGTTTGAATTGTAATTATTTTGCAAAAAAGTTAGCAATAAGGACAGAACAATTCCATTTCCTGAGGAAATGAAACAAAATACTTCTAACTCTTCCAAACAAGGTTATATGATGCTACACATTGTACCTAAATGATGAGTTTGAAAAATGAAAATGAACAGAAAAGACACAAGGAAAATTGATCTCTCTGGAAATATTTTTGCTATAACCAGAAATGCAAAAGGGGAAAATTGTAAGTCTATACACCTTGCAAATGACCACTAAAGCAGTCCTGGTTAACATTCAGGCTATATTTGTTGAAGCCCTGTGTACACATATACAGAGTACATATGCATATATGATCTAATTTTCATATTATTTTTAGAAAACTATATGTCTCTATAGTTCATTTACCTTCTGTGTGGTGACATGTTATTTGTGATTTATTAAAGCTTGCCAGACAATTTAGAAAGCAAACTCATGCTGAAGCTATAGAAGTCAAGCAGTGGTGATACACACCTTTAATCCCAGGACTCAGGGTTAAGAGGTAGATTGATCTCTGTTAGTTTAAGGCCACACTGACTATCAAATTGATCTAGTCCTAAAAATTCACACGCCTTTAATCCCAGCACTAGGGAGGTATATAAGACAGGAGCAGGGACTCAGAACTGGCATTCAGTCTGAGAGTTAGTCTCTAGCTATGTTGAATAGAGCCTGGCTGTCTGAGCGAATCTGGGGAGCAGTGAAGTCCAGAATAGTTTGAAGATCGCCCCTTTGGTCTGAATATCAATAGAGGTAAAAGCTAGTAGTGGCCAGCTGCTTTGCTTTTCTAATCTTCAGCTTGAAGCCCGAACCCAACATCTGTCTCTGAGTCCTTTATTTACCATGTTGCTCTTCTGCTTTAATGAGAAACAACATAACAACATCTCTACATCCTTACTAGTGGTTCCAGACCATTTTTAAAATTAATTTATTACATTCTTTTAGGTGATTAATTTTACCAGATTCTTCTGTCTCACTTTGTGAACTTCCTCTTAATATAAATCAAAGTACCTTTATCAGATTTATGGGCACTTAAATAGTTCTTAATTGATCTTCACCCATTTACACATATGGACTTTTTACATAATAATACAGCTATAAACAATTCATCACCCATTTATGTAAACAGGTCATTTTGAAGATACGCTGTTTTACTTACACTTGATGCCCAAGAAAATGGATGTTGCTAATAATCCCACACAGAGCACACAGGAAATCGCCGTCACAGCGCACCATGTTCCTAAACGTAGGATCAGAACAGTGACAAGACTTAGCCGTCAAAGATGTTGGGATGCATGGAAGGAGTGGCCCTTCCTACCAGAGAAATACGAAGATTTCAAACTCTAACAGGAGGAGAGGAATCTTTGCTTAAATTCTCTCAAATTAAACTTTTAGCTTGGGATGTATCTGACCTGGAAAATACCAAATTCAATAAACTTTATACTATATCTCTGTGACCCTAATATACAATGTCAAAAGTTTAATAAGCGATTACATCTATCTATGTACTTACCTATCTATATACCTATTTTTTTTTCAATAATCTCAATAACGCCACCTAGGCAACCCTAAATTCTTAACATCGAGACTCTCTTATCTGTTTTCAGAATCTCTTGAACGTGATTCACTAAACTATTTAATTTTAATAAGCAATTTAGAAAATGAACAGAAATTTCCAACTAAAAGTGAAAAGTGAGTGATGTGGCTTACTAAGTTATCCACACTAATCAAAGAAAAATAAAATGTATCTTCACATATTGTGATAGGCCAGATAATGCCTTGCCTGTGATGACTGTGGGTCATCCCTGGAACCTTAAAATGGCCCTGTATGTGACAAAAGAGATTCTGAAGGCAGTGGAGATCTGCCATGTGAAAGTCAGCCTCAATTAGTGAATTTGTAACAAGTTGGTACTAAAGACAAAACCATGTAATTACTTGGGAAAATATAATAAAACACTTTTACAGCTCACCCAACTATTGATTGTATGCTATTACTTGTGACATCTAGTTGATGAATCATCAAAGAAATGATTAGAAATGAATAAACGCTTATCTATTTGAAAATATTTTGTGCTGTAAAGTTATAAAAATAAAAATTACTGTAAGATGTAGAAATAGGGATAAAATAATGAAACCATAGTTGCTTCAGCATAATCAAGTTTTTCAACTTTTTCCTTGATTTCTTAGTGTTTGTCAGATAATTTGCTGAGCATTTTATGCAAAAACTAAAATAATTAAAATTGTATAATTTATTTGACCTTTTTACAAATTTGGGAGAGAGAATATATCATATTTCCCGAGCCCAGTGCCCTTTTTCGCCTTTACTTATTCATCCATGCCAGTGACTATGTCAATCATGCTAGAATACTATAAAGAGGTTACCTCGGATTATAAGAAACACCTTGGGTTCATCACGGAACACCAACAGAACAAAAAATATATCTAGTTTTCTATTAAGCATTTTGAATTTATTACCTGAACATTTGCTAGCAGACAGACATTTCTGAGAGTCCTCTGAGGGTGGATTGTCCCACTGAAGAGAGCAGTAAATTTCTTCCTCATGCATGCTGAAGGTTCTTGGAGAGTAAAGCAGCCTACATAGGAGCCTGACAGAAATAACCCTTCTCATGATTAGGAGTACATTGGTACAAAAAAAAAATGGAACTGACTACTCTTTCATAGCTGTAAAAGGCACTGGGGATTAAGGTGCAGGGTAGAGGTATCATCATCCAGAAAGTGGAACTATTAAAGCTAGAATTTAAACATAACGCAATAAAGGAAGAAATGAGAATGAACTCATAATGACTATGGTCAATTTGTACCATTGCTCTGATTCCCATATGGTAGCAGACGCTGAAGATGAGGTATACAGGATGAACTTCTATCTAGTATAGGATATGAAGCACAAAAATGAGTCAGGAAACAAAGATGAACACAGCCCAATCTAGGCAAACCAACTTGCACATAACTTTTGGATTTTCAAACAAGAAAACATGGAAAGGATTTCATCACTTAATTCATTTCTAACCAGTCTATTGGTTAGGATAATATTGACTGCTAAGATAGGTAAACTTCAAAATACCAGTCAGTGCTGTAAATGTTTACATGTTCCTCATAGTTTGTCCCCAGGGATTGGGTTGACAGAGAGTTTTCTCCCAAAAGAGACCTGGGTTATTTATTCATTGGAGTCATGGGAAAGGGAAAGAGAAGGTGACAAACCCACACTTGTGATGGGGGAATGCCCTACGAACACACACTTGTGATGGGGAAATGTCCTTCTGTACATATGTTTCGTTTATTGGTTGATGAATAAAACACTGATTGGCCAGTAGCCAGGCAGGGGGTATGGATGGGGCTTCCAGACAAGGAGAATTCTAGGGAGAGGATGCAGAGAGGAGCCAAGGGAGACACTGTGATGCCAAAGAAGTAACATGTCAGATTACAGGTGGCGATACATGGTTTAATAGAAATAGGTTAATAATTAATTGAAAGCTAGCCTAAGTCATCAGCCAAACAGTTTACAATGAATAAGTCGTTTTTGTGTTTATTTGGGACAAAGTGTCTGTGGGACCAGGCCAGACAGAAACCTCCATCTTCACACTTGTTTCTTGAAAGCCATAACCAAGAAGTAATATGAATCACAGCCTCCCCCATCCATTGCATCTTCTTATTGGTCATGAAGTTTGGGTTTGCCTGGGCATCAGCATCCAGAGGTAATTTTCCTCTTGGAGGAGGGATGAATTATTTAGTGGACAGGTGGCCATTCTCATCACATCCTGTGACTACAGCACTGGTACTGAGAAATTTGATCTCTTAGACATCATTTATCTCTAGGCCACTTGTCCTTATGGCTAAAGGTCACTTCTTGGTAATTTATAGTCCATATTACTTGCAAAATTGCATGTTCTTTGTTATTTTAGAGTCTCAGTTGATCAATAGTTCTTCATCACAAATGGCACAGTCAAGAGGTAACATAAGGGAACTCACTAATAGGGTTACAGTTGGGGGAAAGGGTGATAGGAAAGCCTAAGCAGGGGAGATAAACAGGAATTGCAGACACTGGACCTTTAGGGTCTGCCTCACTAGAGCCAAGGGCTAGGAACATCAGTCCTTACCAACCCCAAGAAGCATAGAGAATCTGAATTATACTTCTGACATTCCTGCATGTCTCAGAGGCTGAGTTTGCCCAGAAAATATACTCGTTTGAATTTAGCTTTCCGAGACACAAGGGGGTAGCTAGCGGGAATCATTAGAGACAAATGAAAAAATGTCCAGCACATTCTGCCAACGTTTCCTGGGCTGTGTCTGGTTTGAAAACAGAATGACTGAAATCCAGATAAACCTTTGCATATGCTAAGTTCTACCAGGATGAGAAAAGAGGAAGAAACCACAACAGCAAATAATATCGCAACTAATCCCGGGAACCAGAGCTCCATCCGCGCCTTGCTCATTTCTAGTTTCTCTTCCCATTTCGCCAGCACTGACACCCAAGCCTGAGTGGATGCAGTGTTTCCCAGGATGACCCACAGCTGCTAAATTTCTACAAGTCCTTGGTTTCTCCGAACAAAGGGTCCATGTGCTGCTTGCACTGCTGCCGCCGTTGTTTGTTTTAGATAATATTTGTGTTTATCATTCATCGAACCCCTAACAAGGATTTTAAAGCCCGATCACAGGAACTAGCTACTTCCTCACGACAGTTCTGTGAAACAGGAGGAAAGAATAGCTGTTACTTAGGACTCAGAGAAGTCAGCCCGTTTAGCGACTTTCATACTGAGTGTTTGAAAGGGAATGATGGAATGCTCTGACTGAAGGATCTGGGCAGTTTTTCATTCCACGATATGCTTTAGGCACGGCTACTAGGAAGAAGAGAAGAGGCTTTGTAGATACAGTGTGATTGGATTCACCTTCTGTGTATGTTTAGCAGGACATTATAAATATGTTGCCTCTGTTAGCATCTGAACACACCTGGCCGGCCCCTGGAGACCTGGCAGAGGTCACCTCGTGTGGCCATGCTCAGTATACAGGCTGTAGCCTGGCCTACTGTGTGGTCTCTGTGCACATGTGCTATGCCCCTCCCTTTAAAAGGCAGAACCCTGCCTGCCCTCCCTCTTCTTCTTCCTCTCCCTCACCCCAGTCCGTGCCCCCCCTCTCTCCCTCTAACTCTCTGCCTATCTTCTCTCTCTCTCTCTCTCTCTCTCTCTCTCCTTTTCCTATGAGGAGACTCTGCACTCTCCTTCTCTCCCCTCCCCCACAACACTTTCCAATAAACTCTTCATGTGAGAGCTGTCTGCATGGCTCATCTGTCTCTCACTCATAGTGGGGCCTCTTGGCTCCCATCCACCATGGTCCCTCATGGGTCATATCATAACACCCTCTAAACCTGTATATGTTGTAGTAATACACAAATATGTCTTTTCCCTCCCTTGTTCATCTATTCCCTCCTCTCTCTTTTCTGCTGAATTCCCGGAGCTTGGCCTGGTGCTTGGTTGTGAATCTCTGTGTCTGGTTTCATCAATTACTGGATGAGGGCTCTATGATGACAGTTAGACTATCTGATTAAAGGGGTAGGCCAGTTCGGGCATCCTCTCCACTATTGCTAAGAGTCTTAGCTGGAGACATCCTTGTGGAATCTTGGAAATTTTCCAAGATCATGATGGAGAAATCTACAGAGACAGCTGAACCAAGTTCATGGAAACTCATGAACTCTGGATCTATAGCTACGGAGCCTCCATGGGACCAAACTAGGCCCGCTGTATGTGGGAGACAGTTGTGAAGCTTGGGTTATCTAAGGGGCCCCTGGCAGCAGGACCAGGATCTATTCCTGATGCATGAGCTAGCTTGTTGGAACCTGTTCCCTATAAGGGAACAGGAGGGAAGGGGTTGGTTCTGTCCCAACATAATTTGTGGACTTCCCATGTGAACCCTTACCTGCTGGGAGGAGTAGATGGGGGTTAGTTTGGTGGGGGCATTGTGGGAGGGGAGGGGAGAGGAGGGAGGGAGAGTAAATGAAATTAGAAATAAATAAATATGTCCTTTCACATGCTGAAGAGATGAAAAACGCTAAAGTCCAGGCATAGGGTTGATGTTTGTATAGTTTCTGAATTATTAGTTCCCACTCGATTTCTGCAACTAGAAAGTTACATACAAGAAGTTCATCCCTGAATTCCCAGCTCCAGAGAAAAAGAGAAAAGGCCAAGGCTTTCTATCTTGCAAGACCAAGACATTTGCAATCAAGAGCCTGAAGTTCTGTTGTGTTGTGTAGCTCAGAACTGTATTCCCTTACAAACAGTCTAAAATAAACCAAAGTGCACATTTGCATGTTAGTGCACAGAGTTGTGAAGAGTTGTGAAACACTTTTTTTTTTTTGAGCATCACACGCTTGATGCTCTGACCAATAAGTCATATAATTATATCAAAGATCATCACAGTTCTCTTCTAGATGAGGGGACCAGCTCACTACATAGGCCAGGAAACAGTGTTAAAGAGACTAAACCATTTGCCCCAAACCTCATAGGGAGTAAGTGCTAAAGTACTATTTATCGAAAGGTACTAGGAGCTGACTGCTTACAACAGGGTCACAGGCAATGTGTGTAAAAGAACAGATTTCATTGTCTACTCAGCCTTCTGAGTTCTGTCTACCTTCACGTCTGGCATGTTCCATTTCCACAAAGTCCTCATCTAAGACGAACAGTATTCATGATCCTATTTTCTCACCAGTTCAACAAAGGAAGCTGTGGGGGGAGAAAGTCCAACTTTGCCTCTTATCCTGGTAGAGGTGCTTCCTCACAGGTCCTATAAATACTTCTCAGTTATTCAGCAAACACCAAACATAGAGCATCAGGAAAAGGACAGATAAAACACTTCTGCTGCTTCTTCTGCCTTCTGGACACTGCTTTGTCACAAGCCACTTACTGGTTTTACAGACCCTGTGGGGTCTCTCCCCAACTCCAGTTTCCCCGTGTTGTACAGAGAATGACCACTGTTGAGTAAGGAAGGCAACCGTTGTCTCCCAGGATGAAAATCACATTTCTTTTTCCCTTGAGGCAGGGACATGCTTCGTGCTGGTCACAGACAATGAATAATAAAGTCATGGGGATCATTATCACGGAGTTTTTGGTATCAGTAGCCTGAAATTTTCTAGTAAGCATATAAATGGTATAGATAATTGAAACTGTGTGCTCACTGTACAGATAAGATAAAAGTCTGAAGTTTATTTTTTGATGAGGTATATGAGATAGGTAATATTATCCCATTTTACTTTATTTTAGTGCACACACACACACACACACACACATTTTGGTTTATCCTATTTTGAGTATGAGAAAATTGCCATTAAACAAAATACAAAATTGCTTTATTAGCTGGGAGCATGCCTTTAATCTCACCATTTGGAAGGCATCGGAAGGCACCAGGTCTACAAAGTGAGTTCTAGGACAGATAAGGCTACGTGGTGAGATCCAGCTTCAAAGACAGATAGATTATGGCATGACCCCATAAAGTCTTATGCTTAGGTATTCATGAACAGAAAACCAATGTGTCAGTACCTAAAATGGGATGGAAGAGATTTTAAATTTAGAGATGAGAACAAACAAGATTTCACATGGGAAGACATGGGCTTCATTGATGAAATTAGCAAAGTTCCAAATTGCTTGGAATGTAGATTAAACAAGTCAGAGAGGGAGGGAGAAAGAAAGAAGGAAGGAAGAAGGAAGAAGGAAGAAGGAAGGAAGGAAGGAAGGAAGGAAGGAAGGAAGGAACAAGGTTTGCTTCATGGTTGCTCTTCTGTCAAGGGGTCATACCATTTGAACTATTTTACAGACTTCATCTGTTTATTTCTACTATCCCTATGCCTTGATCTAATTTTAATTTTATGTGTGTCCATTTGAAGATGCAGTGGATGACATACAGCATGCTAAGAAAATCAGGAATAGGAAATAAAAAGAAAGTTAGTGGAAAGTGAAGTACTGAACAGCTAGTGATTGCTCACACGCTGCTTTTTGATATACAGAGAAAGGATCAGATATGTGGCATAGGCATGATATAAAAAAAAAAAAACAAACACTTTTGTGACTGGGAAATTCTTTTGTCCAGATCTTTTATTGCATGACCAAGCACTTATCTGGCATCCTGTCCATCCTTCTGTATTAAAGCAGTTGGTCCACCCTTGTCAGGCCGGCCCTCCTCTCACACATTAAATAATGCCTGTCATCACAGGAAGCTGGATGGATTTTCCCATTATAAAGATAAGCACAATTCATGTTTTCTCTTGGATTCCCAGAAAGATCAATCCTGCAAATGGAAAAGGCAGAGGGCACAGGTTTTTTTTTTTTTTTACGACAAGTACATAAGGAAGCAAGGGACATGTATGTTTTGCTGATCAAACTAGAGACTTGAGGTGGGGGGAGAAACAGCATTCTTATCTTTGAGAAACTCTTTGTCCGCTGTATACAAGCAAAGTCCAATAATGATATAATATGTTTAAGTCAGATGAAAGTACAAGGAAGGTCCAGAGGAGAAGGCAAATCATGCTCTGACACACCATAGGTTTATGTGAAATTCACTTCGGGTCAGAACTGAAAGAAGAGTAAGTTTTACATAGGCAGACAGGCAATATTGTGAGTAAGGCAGTAAGCAATGAGAGATAAAGGCCACGGTTTGCATGAGGTTTGTATGTATTTGTGTGTCCTGAGATTCTATACAAGGTAAATAATAAATACATGCCAGCTTAGTTATTTATTTAAATAATGATAGGAAAGTATAAGCTTTGATCAAAAATTCTGGACGGAGAGAGTGCAATGTTGTCCAGAATAGACAAAAGATGTTGAAACTAGTGGTTAGAGAGCCATATTGAGAGCTAGCAAGATGGCTCAGTGGGGAAAGGTAATTGCTCCCAAGGTTGCTGACCTATATTTGATTTCCAGGACCTACATGGTGAAAGGAGAAAACTAACTCCTCCAAGTTGTCCTGTGACCTACATTCCCATACAATGTGGCATGGGAATTCTCTCTCTCATACACACACACACACACACACACACACACATATACTAAATTTTAAAAATTAAGGGGCGACAGAGCCATATTGAATAACACAACTCAATGGAATGAGGTCATTTGCCTGCCCCCGAGAAGGGTGGAGACCCATCGTGTGGCATTAGAAGTGCCTTGTGATCTGCAATCTGCCTGGTTTGTGGAGACCCACAGGACAAAAAGATAATGGAAATAATCTTGATGGTAATCACTCCAACCATAAAATAATGAAAAATATACATTTATTCTCAAAGCACAAAGGAATTAGGTCAATTTACATACACACACACACACACACACACACACACACGAGAGAGAGAGAGAGAGAGAGAGAGAGAGAGAGAGAGAGAGAGAGAGAGAGGGAGAGATTAGTGATGTGTGACTGAGAGCTATGACCCACCGTGAGGCAGAGAGCCATCTCAACCTTCAGGCAGCCTGTGTTCAACAAGAAATATGAGACTCAAAGCTTTGGGTAAAGCCTTTTATCTGAGCTACCAGAGACTTACACGTTCTTGGGAAGAATTGAGCTATCTTCCCACATCCAATCCTTATTAGAGTCCTGACGTGATAATCCAATCCAACGGATGGAAGTAATCCTGCTCGTGAGGTATTCCTATTGCAAACAGATCCATTCAATGGTGAACGTCTCCACAGCACTGTGCAATGACAGTGACGCAACTTCCCAACAAAGCCTTGAGCCAACATCTGAAATTACGCATCTGTGTTGATACTGATGGGTTACAGTTCATGTCTAGGATTTGGCTGGTTTGTTTTAAGACATTAAAAAGATAAATTGGATTAAATAGGTAATTTTCTAGTCTTCCTAGGCTATTATACTGTATCCTTATGCTTCCTAGCAATTGGAGATTTGAGACTCAGGAAAACCTCTAAACATGATTCAGCTACTAGAGATGACAAGAAACAGTTATCTGTTTTACAGTATCTGAGACTAAGCTCTTGGACTTTGTTGATTGTCTTATACATGGAAACATTAATTTGTTTTAGTAGCATGGATAAAGAGAACTATAAATGTCTTTCTCAAAGAAATTAGTAAACAACATGCATCTACCTTTTGAAATATACATTTTTCTATGCTTTCATTCTCCTTTTAGATAAATTCTTACTGTGTAGCCCCAGCTGGCCCCAAATGTGTGATCCAAGCCTGAGCTATGACTGTATAAGCATGTACCACCATATCTGGCTCTGGTTTACTTTTTCCTGCATGGTTATAATTTACTTTTTGCTAGTTTGTTTGGTTTCTCAAGACAGGGTTTCTCTGTGTATCCCTGGCTTTCCTGGAACTCACTCTGTAGACCAGACCTCAAACTCAAGAGATTCACCTGCTTCTGAATCTCCAGTGCCGGAATTAAAGGCTGCCCAGCTATTTTGTTTAAGTTCATGGCTTTTGGTTTTAATTGAGTACATAGATGCAGGTCCCAGAGTGGTTCCAGTACATATGGGTTGACTATGTGATGAATGGAAAGAAAAGCAAAAGTAAGCCAAATATTCATTATACCTTCATGCATCCCAGGAGAGCAGACAAGAATCTACTCTTGGAAAGAAAAAAAAAACCCAAAAGCAAAACAAAACAAAAAAAAATGGTTTGAGCTTGTAGACAGAAGTTTAACATTCAGAATAACACTGCACAGGAGACACTTGGGCTTCTCTCTTCCCTAAAGTGTGAGCCACCCACCACCTTTCCATTAACTCATCAATCACTTTTCTCTAGAACATGTCCATATAGATGCATATTGCCCAAGATGCCTCATTTTTGAAGTTGATGGAAAAATCAAATTGATATTTAACATTTTTTTTCACAAACAGTGATATTACTTCTTTGTTATGTTACAGATTTTCAAGTAATGTCAGCCTGGAGTGATAAGAGTCATGGCATGTTTCACATCTCCATTTAACCTCTTTATACTGGAGTTGACATGCTAGGCACTCCCCTGTTTTGATTGAGTGAATTTATGTGTTAATTTTAAACTTCTCTATGAACCTGAGATTACAGTTGAGGGGCAGAAGCTCACACAAACTGGAGTAAATATAATGGGAGCATCCCATGCTGACTCATCCTGTCCGACCCAACCACCCACTCTTGCTGTGATAGAGTCTTACTGAAACACTGTTGAGGTATTTTGGACTATAGCTACATTAAATATTTAAGCTCTATATTTGTTATCAAGCTTCCTAAATTTCTCAGAGGAGCACCACTTGCAAGCCATTAAGAAACACATTTTAAAAAAGAAAGAAAGAAAAAAAAAAAAAAAACAGATTCCATGTTTCCTTTGAGAGCGTTTTCCTTCAGTTCCCAAATGTTTGTCATGGGACCCTCCTTACCACAGTCTTCTGGCTGGCAGCCTTCACAAGTGTTGCATTCTGCTCAGCACAATAGTGCTTGCTCTCTTCCCATGTTCGGTTTTGTCTGAAGAACCCATAGCAACTGTCTCCATGGTATCTCCACTTTGAGGCACAGGGGCTGCACTTGTGCTCTGAAAGGGAGACCAAGTTTGGGGCTGTCAAAGTCTGGCCAAAGCTTTCCCCCGGTGCAGCGTTCCTGCTCTGGTGGGTCTCCCTCCTGTTACCATGGCAGACACACAGGGTATGGAGAGATGAATTTCCAAGTCAGACTTACCAACTGTGCTCTTTGTCTTGAGCTCTGATTGTTTAATCAACTCTTGGCAGAATTTCTTGGCCAATTGTTGCAGAGTGGCGGAGAGACTTTCCTTCTCGGTTAGTAGGTACTTTTGCTGTGTAACGGCTAAATGTAGAGAGGAGACAAATTACTCCTGGGTCTCAAGGCCAGAAAGATGACGGCAGGGTTCTTCAGTGGCCTTTCATTTCTATAAACCTGCCAGTAGCTGAAGGGTTCACTAGGCACACAAAAATCAATGGATAGTGAGAAATGAAATATAAAGAATCAAGTGAGAGCTGCATAAAAGAGCGCGTGAATCGACTGATGACGAAAAAGTTCTGAAGTGAAAACATGTGTGGAAGGCACCCGATCTGATATTCTCTACAGTGGGTTTCACAGAGACCAGAGAAGCCTATCATTCTTATTCTGTTCTACATATAACACTGAATCAGCCCACCTAAGAATGCATGGTGGGATGGCAGTTCTAACTGTATAGACGTTCATTGAGATGCATAGTTTTTTCAGTCTGCTTAATTTGGCTACGTGGATTCTTAAGTTCTTTATGAAAATGTTTTAAATTTTAAATGGTAATTAATTAAAACATGAAAAAAATACATATTGTCATTATGGTGTTTAAAATGTTTTACATAAAATATGATGAATAAAGGCTTCTAAAATACATTAAAAACAAGAAAATAAATGAACTAGCAACACAAATTACAGCATGACCTCATAAAGTCCTATGATTAGATATTCATGAACAGAAAACCAATGTGTCAGTAAATAAAATGGGATGGAAGAGAATTTAAATTTGGAGATGAGAACAAACAAGATTTCACACAGCAAGACACGGGCTTTATTGAAAATTCCAAATTGCTTGGGCCTTAGATTAAACAAGGAGAGGGGGAGACAGAAAGACAGTTTGGGTCCATACTGAGCTCCTTAAATGGCAGCAATACATCCTGAAAGTTATTTAACTAAGAAAAAACTTCAAAGTGATTCAAATCGGAGGGGCGAGCTCTCCATTCTGGCTTTTCCTTCGCTGAGGTTATATCCACATCCGCATGCAGGACAAATTGTAGCAGGTGACAAACAGATGAGACAATTAGTTAGCTTAGTAGACTATTCCAGGAACTCCGGGGTATTGCTTTCCTCAGATCAAAGCCCTGGCAAGGAGCCAATACTTACACATGATGCCCAGAGCCACGAGCCCAACAACCAGCCCCATAGATGAGATCAGCAGAATTAAAGTCATCACCCGCCACCAGGAAGAAGCAGAGTCAGCTGTGGGAGTAATGAAGATACACAATAAAAGACCATTAAGCCGTCCTGGGATTCTCAGGGTTTTCCAAGCATCATAACTAGTGTAAGCTGTGTCTGGGAGAGAAAATGTACAGCCCCATACTTGGGTCATGGAGGCAGAAGGATCAGGAGTTCAAAGCCAGCCTTGGCTACAAAGCAAATTTAGTGCCATTCTAAAGCTAAATGAGACCCTGTCTCAAAACCCAGCTAAACTTGGGCTAGTGAGATGGCTTAGCAGGTAAAGTCTCACCACATAAGCCTGATAATCTGGGTCTAACTTCTAAAATACAGGCTAGAAGGAAAGAACCTACTTCTGAAAGCTGTCCTCTGATTTCCCCAGGGTACCATGACACATGTACAACCACACACCCATACAAACACACAAGCGAGGTGCTCTCCTGTGCACACACACATATTCACAATGCATACAGAATGTGAGCATACACACACACACACACACACACACACACACACACACAATCAAAGCAACAACAACAACAAACAGTATTGGTGGCTATTTATCTTCATCCCCTTGGTGACCATTCGAAATGAGAGTGGCCTGCTTTACACCATTCACCCATCTCTGTCATCTCTGCTCCCCACAGATTGTTCTCGATACTCTCTGTACATTCTGAAATACAACTGCCAAGGCCACATGTATTTCTCTCTCTCTCTCTCTCTCTCTCTCTCTCTCTCTCTCTCTCTCTCTCCTGCATCCTCATTCTCATAAACAATGACTTTCATAGAAGACAAGTGGAGAACTCTGTGTCTTCTGGTATTCAGAAATTTGAGGTTGTTTTGAAAAAGGTTAAAAACATTTTATGTTTTACATAAATGTTTACTTACAGAATGTTTACACATTAAAGAACACTATGACCCAATGATTTGTTTGTTTGTTTGTTTGTTTTTCAAGATAGGGTTTCTCTGTACAACAGTCCTGGCTATCCTGGAACTTGATTTGTAGACCAGGCTGGCCTTGAACTCACAGAGATCTGCCCGCCTCTGCCTCCGAAGTGCTGGGATTAAAGGCATGTGCCACCACCAACTGGCATGACCCAAAGATTTCATATGGTTTTTAAACAGAAGGAAAATAAAAAGAATTCAGATTACAAATCCCTTCCCTCCAGAATTTAAAAAAAAAAAAGTCTCTTTTTTTTTCTAAGTAAGTCATTCAACAAATGTTCAGTGACTACTCATGCCCAATTTCCATCATATGGACGACCAATGAAATTTAAAATGTGAAGACATTTGCCAGACATCCGAGTTTTCAAACTGTCCTTCCCTTTGTCCCACTAACTTCTTAGCCCCAGCATTACATTCTAACAGTCTTAGTGCAAACTCCTCTCCTCCATCCTTGCTGCCTGTGGGAGCCTCCGTAGGCCCCACTCACATGCTTCAGAGAAAGAGCATCATTCAGGAAAACACAAATAAAATTAAGCCCCATCACTGGGCGGGAGGGAGAGAGGAGGAGTTGACCTCCTAAAGTCCCAACTGCTGAATGACCCTTCTTACCTGAGCTGAGAGTTGGTTTTCGGGGCTTAATGTTCAAAGTGATGTATCCGTCTTCATCCTGCATGGCTCCCCCTTGAACTGCAAGTGAGCTCAGAGTTCAGTGAGCTTGCAGAACTCACCCAGTGTCCACTCTTACCATTTCAGTGCCTGCCAGAGTGGGTCCTCCTCTCCTGGCCGTGTGGAGCCATATGCCATCGGGACACTTGGGTTTTGTTTTGTTTTGTCTTTGTTTTCCAGGAAGCCCTTTCATGGATGTTCAGAGATACGTGGACTTGAACCTAAAAACAAAAATAATAATAACTTGTGGTGAAAGAGTAGATGCAGGCCTCATTTCCTGCTTTCTTATCTTCAACGCTGAGTGAAGGGATGTTCCATTGTGAGTATCCTGTCAAAAAACAAAAGTTCACGCTTCATCTTAACCCTAGGGAAGCTGAAAACATATCACTTAAGTGAGCTTAATCCTCATAAAAACTCATGGGTAAAAATTCAGTAAATACATACCAAGTCACACTGTGAGAGCAAATACAGTATCAATTTATTAGATCTGATGCTAAATTAGATGCTTATAATTTTCCATTAAAAGGGACTACTTCTCACAATGAATGACCTAGAATTCTCTCAAATTCAAGCATCTAATGCAAGTTGGTTTATTTAAAAAAAAAAAAAAAAAAAAGTGAGGTGAACCTGAGATTGCTTAGTCCTATCCTAGACACTGAAGGAAAAAAAAATCAAATAATTACTCATGATGTAATATTTCACTTCAAAATGAACTTCTTGAATTTAAAAATATCTAAATTTCAATGACATTCTTTAATTTTGAGTGTGGTTTTTCCCCAGCAAATGAACCACATGCAGGAGTGGGCTGCGTTCTCTAAAGCCTTTTAATCAGAATGCAATTCGTCATTCTGCTCTGAAGAAATAGGCTTTAAATAGTTGCACTGGCTTACGCTGACAGCAGCTCCAGGCACACCATACAGAACTAACTAGGTGGTTATTGTAGGAATATCGGTGTGAACGTTACCAGTTTTAACATTAGGGCAGAACTTACATAATTTTAGAGCAGGTAATTATGCTAATTATCCGTGGTCAGTAAAGCATTCTGCCTTCATTTGTCTTAGAAGTGATTGCGTCACTGCCTTCTGCTTTTAAGAGAATTCAGTCTTCATATTTCGGCATGGGAACCATACAGGACCTGCTGGAAGGTGTTTGCCTGCCCATGTTCCCATTTATGTCTTTTACGCTTTTTAAATTTCTTTTCCTCCTTGCTGTCTACGTCACTCTGAATTTTTTGTCAATTTACTGAAAGGATGTTGCATTTTGAAATACCTTACCCTACACTCCTCAAATGATTCCACAAAGGCAGCAAATGATTCAGTTATGGCTGCTGCTGTTTGCATAGCTTTTACCTTAGCTGAAGGGTCTTTCTCTTCCTGGAAGACAGTGATAGACAACTCAATCTTCCAGCAAAATACGGGATCAGTTAGAGCTCTTCCTTCCTTTATCCATATATGTTACAAACTTAGTTCAAGGGTGTTTTTCTTCCTTTACTGCCTTACTTCAATGTTTTTACCTAATATATACAGAAACAATGCAATGTAATAGAATGAATAATTTCAGCTTAATGAAGAAAAAAGCATATACAGAGCTGTAATTGTAAAGAAACCCTATCAAGTAAAGTTTCACTCCATTTTTCTTAGAAATAAAATTAATACATTTGAAAAATGTAATCAGGTAAATTAAACTGAATGTGGAACTGTGAGCTAGCTCCAAGGGAATAGGGAATGATGGTATATGGTTTTTGTATTAAATAATGTAAACTTTAAGTAATTAAAAATAATAATTAACTTGCTTTGTTTAAGTTTCCAGATATTCTGAGTCTTAGGCAGCTGGATTAGTTATGAAAGAGTCCTATTTATTCCTATAATTCAATAGGGGTCCAGGCTTACTTTACATTACAGGTCCATTGCTACATTGAACTGTACATTTAGCATCAGAAGAAGACACAGCTGGAGTGGGCCTCAGACCATAGGGACACTCCTTTCTGTAGCCAGGATTAAAGGATTCTATTGATTCTTTTCCCTTTCACATTTTAATTTGTCACTGCTGTTTGGTTCCTTAGTTACTCCAGCCACAACCTTCTTCTCTGTAGATCCAAAGTACACTAAATATACGCCTGTCTTTATGTGCATCCTAGCCTCCATCCTCCAAGCATAGCATTTGATGTTATGAGCATAAAACACAAATAGGAGAACTGTAGGGTCAAAAAAAGAATCCAAAGGCATTTCAATTTAATTTTACTTTTACATATAATATGAATGTAAGGTGTCTTTCGAGTTTCGGTGTTGTCCAGATGTACCCCATGTTTTTATGGGAGAAGGATGGGTAATAGGATCTCAGAATCTGTGTGACAAGGTGTGGATGTGATCAGAAAGGGAATGGCGTAACCTTGTACCTAAGACTAATCAAGATACAGCAGCAGCATGGTGGGGTTGTGGAGAAAGACAGACAGTAAGTCAGGAGGCACTGACCACTGTGGACATTCCTACACAGCCTGCGAATGAGAATAGAAAGGGTACTTTGCAGCTGAAGATCAGGTATTTTAACTGCCAAGTGTAAGGCCTTTTACCAATGCATTCCTATCGACCCCTGCCCCCAGCTCCGCTTCCTGCCCTCCCCTTAGCCTGCCGCATTAAAATTGCTGGCTCACCTTTAGCTTCTTAACTTTGTGCACACAAACGAAATGTTGCTTATCTTTGGAAAACGACAGGATTTCCTGTTGTGGGAAACAAAGCATAATTAACATTTATTCCTTGGTTTTTCGGGAATCTGAAATATGTGGATTTAAATGAGTTTTATTAAAATGTTGCTGAGTTTACGGTAGTTATAGGTCAACTGGAAGCAGAACGCTTGGTTGCCTAACAGAGAAAAAATTGAAAAGGAATACACAGTGGCTGCGGCAGCTGTCGCATGCGTAAAAATCCCATCTAAGTAAAATGTTAAGTGACGTCAGATGGTAGATAAAAATCCCAAGGAAAGGCAAAAAAATCACCAAGAATAGATTCTGAGATCCTATTACCCATCCTTCTCCCATAAAAACATGGGATGCATCTGGACAACAGAGAAACTCATCATTGTGACTGGGCCTGTCACTGTACTGTTTTCTGGGCTCAAATAGTCAATAAAACACACTGGTTGCGTGTGGACACATTAATAAACAAGTGGTGAACACATTAATAAACAAGCAGAGGGCAAGATAACGTCTCATCATCACCCTGTGAAGGCAGCTGGGTGGTAGGATGGCTCCCTAGGTAAAGTGCCTGCTGTCCAAGCTGGAGGACCTGAGCATGATCTCCAGAACCTGCTTTAAAAACCAAGAGCTATGGTGCTATTGCTCTTTTGTTCCACAGAGAGAGAGAGACAGAGACAGAGACACAGAGAGACAGAGAGAGAGATGAGAGAGGAGAGGGGAAGAAGAGAGACAGGAGAGAGAGAGAGAGGGAAAGGCAGCAGAGAGAGAGAGAGAGAGAGAGAGAGAGAGGGAAAGGCAGCAGAGAGAGAGAGAGAGAGAGAGAGAGAGAAGAGCTGGAAAGAGAGCAAAAAGAGCAAAGAGCAAAAGAAAGCAAAAGAGAAAGCAAAAAAAGAGCATGTGGGCGGGGTCTGACTTTTAAAGGGATCCTTCACACCTGCCTGCAGACTAGCACTCATGGAACCCTGGGCTGACCAGAGTGCATTCTGCCAGGTGACAGGGGCAGGCAGGTGGAATGCCTGAATCCTTACAGGTGAGCCTCAGGATAACTGGCTACCGAGACCAGGCATGAGACAAGCATATCCCTAGAGCTTATTGGCCAGCTAGTCTGACCAATCAGTGACCTACAGAGCTATTAGAGTTCTTTCCTCAAAAAATTGGCTGGGTAACTATTGAGGTGACCCTGTGGCTTTCCCCCTGTAGGCATACGTATGTACAATTCCATGCACACGAACACACCCATATACCATGTACAGAACTGCACACACAGTGCTCAGAAGGAAAATAAGGCACTATAATAGACGGTAACTCGTTGAACTCCTTGCGGGGACCGGGGGCGGGTGGGGGATTAATCAGTTTTCACTTCAGCAGCTAGCTGTATAGGCTTCTTCCTCTTTGAGATTATCCACATTAAACCATCTTAGCTCAGGGAAACAGTGATGACTGTTTCTATGTTGTTGTTGTTGTTTGTTTTTTAATCAATTATCATTGCTGTATTATACAAATTTTACTAGTAGGAAAATGAGACTGGCTGGGTAGTGAATGCCTGTGATGTCATTACTATAGAGTGAGGCGGCAGATATTAAGTTTGAGGGCTGTCTGGGCAACACAGTGAGCTCTTGTTCAAAACAAAAACCAAAATGCACAGAGCTGAGAGGTCAATTTGATACAAAAGGTCACAGGGTATGCAAGTTTGAGCCACATTCAAACAATGGGTATTCCTTGATAATTCTTTATTTAAATCAAGATAGCTTACAACCAGGTTTCTATAGGAATTCCATCCTCTGTTCATCCTATGTCTCCTCCTTGTGGCCGTTTTTATTTCTTTCTGGGTCTTTGGTACCTCTGTCTTTGACCTCTAGTTCCCCTTATCTAATTCTAAATTATAGTGGACGCTGTCTGGGTACGAGCTACTATTGTCAGTTTCCAACAGTGGTCTCTGATGTAGACTCAGTATGTGGGAGTTTCACTTCCTAGAACATATGCTGATGATTTATTTTAATGCAAATCAACTTCTATATCCCCAACTGAGTTCTATTAATCATGTATGTTATGCAGTCATTGAATGTATATAAGAGAAGCAAGGGAAACCAATGATTCCAAGTTGTTTGGGGGTTTGTAGCAGAATTGTGATGTGTGTTTATGTATGTGCACGTGTGCAGGTGCCTGTGGAGTCTATATGAGGGTGTCAGATCTCCTGGAAGGATTTTGGGGAACTAACTCAGGTTCTCTGAAAGAGCAGTAAGTGTCCTTACCCATTGGGCCATCTTTCCAGACCTGTGGTATAATTTTTTTAATTAAATTTGTTCTTTGAAAATTTAATACATGTATATAATACATTCTAATCTTCCAAACTCCTACATTCTATTATCTCCCTCTCACCCCTGTCAATCTTCAAATCTCTTCACAGATCTCCTTCCCACATTCATAGCTCTTTGTTTCCATTTGTAACCAGGGCCACATGACCACGGGCATTTTGGCTGAGGACTTATAAGTATAGAGTTCCTGTTTATTGAGATGAAGAAACACATTTGTTCCTTGATACATTAAGTTTGAAGTCTTATATCTAAGCAACTTGGAGATAGACATCAGGACATGATCAATGACTGAATGTTCCATCCCTTGTTTTTGGCCTGGAGTAGTTCATCTAAGGGGTGAACGTACCAGACAAAGAGGGCCAAGAGCTGAAGGATGGCACATAACACTTCAAAACCCATCAAGGATGTGTCTTAGCTTCGCTTTCTATTGCAGTGGTAAAATACTCTGAGAAAAAGCAACTTAGATGATAAAAAGTTTCTTTTGAGTCACAATTCCAGGGAGATAGAATCCACTATGGTGGGGGGAGGCATAGGAACAGGCAGGGACAAGAGGAGCAGGAATCGGGCTGGTCACATTTTATCTGCACACAGGTGCAGAGAGTGAACAGGAAGTGGGGCCTGACTTTACAATGCAAAGCCCTCCACCAATGGGATGGTTCCCCAGCAAGGCTCTACCTCTTCAAGATTCCATAGCCTTTCCAAACATTGCAGACAGCTGGGAACTAAGTGCACAGATAAATGAAACTATGGGGGACATTTCCCTTTCAGATCACAATAGAAAGAACTATTAAATCCAACAGCAGGCAGCTGGGAATGGGTGAGATAAATAGGAAATCAAGAGAGTGGTGTCTGGGCAGTAAAATGTTTGGAGAAGATAGTACTTTATAAATAAAAGGAGGACCTCAAGAGAGACATGCATGGTCCCAGAGAAGGGAAAAGGGACAAGATCTCCCAAGCAAACTGGCAGCATGGAGGGAGGTCAGAGGGAGTTAGGAGAAAGAGGAGGGGAGAGGAGGACATGAGGGAGCAGGAAGATTGAGTTTGGGGGAAGAATAGAGGAGAGCAAGAAAAGAGATACCATAATAGAGGGAGCCATTATATGTTTAAAGAGAAATCTGACACTAGGGAAATGTCCAGAGACCTACAAGGATGACCCCAACTAACAATCTAAGCAATAGTGGAGAGGCTACCTTAAATGCCCTTCCCTGATAATGAGATTGATGACTACCCTATACACCATCCTAGAGCCTTCATCCAGTAGCTGGTAGTAGCAGAAGCAGACACCCACAGCTAAACAGTGAGCCGAACTCCTGAAATCCAGTTGCAGAGAGAGAGGAGTGATGAGCAACGAGGTCAAGACCAGGCTGGAGAAACCCACAGAAACAGCTGACCTGAAAAAGGGGGAGCTCATAGACTCCAGTCTGATAGCTGAGAAACCAGCATAGGACCCACCCAGACCCCCTGAACATGGATGTTAGTTGGGAGGACTGGGCAGTCTATGGGGCCTCTGGTAGTGGATCAGTATTTATCCCTAGTATATGAATGGACTTTGGGAGCCATTCCACATAGAGGGATACTCTCTCAGCCTAGACACACATGGGAGGGCCTATGACCTGCTCCAAATAATAGGACAGACTTCGAAGATCTCCCATGGAAGGCCTCACCCTCCCTGGGGAGCAGAAAGGGATGGGATAGAGGGTTGGTAGGGGCAGGGGAGGAGGGGAGGGAGATGGAACTGAGATTGACATGTAAAACAAGCTTGTTTCTAATTTAAAGTTTTAAAAAAAGAGGAAAAAGAAAATATCTATACCAAATGCTACCTATATCAGTCAGAGTTGTTCCAGGAAATACTCACTGGATGTATTTTATGGAGGTTAAGGATAACATTGATTTCAGAGTAATAATAAATTCAGGAACCTTGAGAAGACAAAGAAGGCAGAGAAGGTTTTTTGACCTCTTTTGTGGTTAAGAACACTAAAAAAAAAATGATGTGATAGTATTGGGAAGGCGTGGATAGGATTTGTTGCTGTTTTAGAGATGGAAGATATGTCTTGCATATAGGATAAGGTGAATGATCCAGTACACATGAATTTTAGAAAATTTGGAAATATTACAATGCCTGAGATAGAAAATCACACATTCAAAATATTTGACCCTATAGCCATTGAATTGCTAGCAGAGTGGGCTGGAGAGACAGTAGCTGGGTATCAGACATCATTGGCCCACAGGGTTCTCAAGTATAACCTTCTAGTTGGCAGCTGATTTGTGCTTATGGAGTAAGTTATTGGAGGTAAGACCCTGGGTATTGAACTATCAACATTGAAATCACTGAGTGGCATCAGAGGAGTAGAGGTCGAGTGGAGAATTCAGGAGCTGACTAGGTAATAAGGAGGGCAGTGAAACAGCTACTCCCTTGAGATGCTCAAGGCCCTGGGATACACCTTAAAATAAACGATTAAGTTATTTAACTAACAAAGCAGTGAGGGAGGTTACCTAGACCTTGGTAAATGATTGCGCAAGGTGTTTTGAAAATGTAGCTTCTAAAATGATCAACAGAGATGCTGGGAATTTGTGAGATAGAAAGCTAGGCAATTTATGAATTAATAAAATGACAAGCTAAGAGTAAAATATATGGACTTAAGTGGTCACGAAAATAGAAAGTACGCAGGAGACAGGATCCATTATCTTTCTGGAAAGTATTGGTAGGAATGGGGAGAGTCCTCATCACTTTACTCAGAGTTAATTTCATCTAAGATAATGTCAGTGACCTTCTCTCTCCGATAACTTTAAGGTATGTAAAGGAGTCAAGGAATGAGAACAGACACTCAGTCTTTGCAAAATTTTATGAAAATAAAAGACAACAGCCAAGATAGAAAGTTTCATTTCTTGTATCTATAGTTACCTAGTTACCTATTTGATTTTGCTTTTTTTCCTTTTTGTTATTACCTGTTTTACTTACAATAGTAAAGTTACTCATTGCTGATAGAACAGTTTGTGGAGTTGTTTTCCCTTGTGTGTGTGTGTGTGTGTGTGTGTGTGTGTGTGTTCACTCTTTTGTGCCTGTGCAGGTGTGTATATAGTTGTGCATATGTGTGTAGTTGTGCATGTGTGTGTAGGTGTTCATGCATGTGTAGGTGAGAGGTCATCCTTGAATGTTGATTTTTAGACATGATCTCGTGGTGGGAAACAGAACTCCATAATCCGGAATCTTCCTTGTTCCTCCTCCTCAGTGCTGACATTCCACCACTCCCAGGTTTTTCATGGGTTCTGACAATCAAACTAGGGTCCTTATATTTGTAACTCAAGAACTTTGTAGACTGGGCTATCTGTCCAATTCTGTAGTAAAACTTGGAGCCTCCAGACACTTTGTTCACTCCATCAATTTCCAAGGTACCCAGAAAGGATCATGAACGAATCATGTATGAACATTCTTGTCTGAAGATTATACAAACATGTTACTGAAGAACATGTTATGGCTGTATCTTCCTGTATCTCCTGAGGAGTAGGCATAGCCCATTCTGGAGACCTTTGGCTAATCCCTTCTTTACCCAGACACAGATCCTGGAAAGACTTAGATAACCTCCGAGTAATCTGAAAAATACAAAACCCACAACAAATATAGACCAAATATCTGGTACAGGGCAATTATCTAGTCTCCTCTTTCCTCTGCATAAAGAAAAGCTTTAGTTAAGACTTTTTAGTCACATTGCTCAGGTGTGGTTCCCCTGTGTTTTCTTGGAAGGGCTGGGCCTTCATCTCAGTGGTAAAGCTCTTGGACTGCCTGCTGAAAGCACTGGTTAGCAATGGAAGGAACACAATACTTTCTTGGGTTCTGTGATAGTCTGAATAGTAATGATCCCCATAGACAATAGTAATGATCCCCATAGACTCATATATTTGAAGGCTTGGTCATAGGGGAATGGCTCTACTTGAGAGGGATTTGAAGGTATGGCCTTATTGGAGTAGTTGTGGCCTTGTTGGAAGAAGTGTGTCACTGGGGGTAGGCTTTGAGGTTTCAGAAGCCCAAACCAGGCCTGGAGTCTGTCTCTTCCTGCTGCCTCTGGATCCAGATGTAGAACTCTCCAGTCTCTCCATCACCATGTCTTTCTGTATGCAGCCATGGCGATAATGAACTAAACTGCTGAGACTGTAAGCAAGCCACAATTAAAGGCTTTCTTTTATAAGAATTTCCATGGACTTGGTATATCTTCATAGCAGTAGAACAACAGCTAAGACAAGTTCTGTATTAGCTTCCTACTGATGACAAGTGACTACATGTTCAGTAGATTAATAGCACAAATGTATTACAAGCCTGTGGTTAAAAGTCTGACTTGGGTCTTATTGGTCAAATAAGGGTTATTGTTAGGAGTGCATTCCTTTTGGGAGAAATGTAATAACAATCTGCTTCTTTGCTTTCCTTCTAGCATAAGCTCTTTGAGTGCTAATTGCCTTTTCTTTCACCCATCAATCAATACCTTATTTAGTATAATCATAAAACTCACTGATCATCTGATAAAACTTCTTCAGTGTTTGAGATGTTTAAGAATTTTTTTTATTTCATTAAGTACATTCCAGGTAAC